CTATCTCTATGCCAAATTTCATCAAAATCGGTTGCGAGGTTTAAGCGGGAAAGCGTAACAGACAGACAGACAGACAGACAGACAGACAGACAGACAGACAGAGTTACTTTCGCATTTATAATATTATATTATATTATAATATTATATTATAATATAATATAATATTATATTATAATATAATATTATATTATAATATAATATTATATTATAATATTATATTATATATTATATATATTATAGTTGGGATTTATTTAAATCATCGTCATTGTAGTCTAAGCTGCTGTAATTTTCATATTAATTTCTATACTATACTCTTAGGTGGTTTTTAGATCTGGAAAAGGTCGCGGGAGGTGCCTGGATGCGGGCTGCGCCGCAGGATTGGTCGTTATAGAAATCCTTGGGGAGGCCTTTGTCCAGCTTTTACTCATACTTATATAAATATGTATACGCATCTGATAATAATTTGCGAACATTACTTTGATCGATTGTTTTTCTACACCCTGTATATTCGCAAGCTTCTCGAACTTACCGCAAGCGAAGTTTGGACTCAAGGCCAATCGTAGAGGACTTCGCTAAATTTGCCTTCGCGGCAATAATACAGGTGAAATCCCTAGGGCTAAAGCGATTGAACGTCTAAAGTTAGACGCTTAGATTCAGGGTTGGGAATAAGTTGAAATTAAGTTGTTTTCTTTTTTCATTTTAGCCAAGTTTTTTATTGAATACTACCCGCGAAACGACCCGGATTCCCGGATTTTACGTTACACCTTTCTGGTTAATAACTTTACCTGTCTATTGCTGAAAACAACATTAAAATCCGTTGCGTATAGAAGAAACCCGATGAATGTGCGATACACTGGGATTCTGGGAACGAGGTGGTTTTACACAAACCACAAGTTAAAATCAAAGATTAATTAATTCTAAGTTAAATCAAAAGGTAATGATGCTATTTAATATTAAGGTGGTAAAAATTATGGTACGTCGGTAAAATTAATTAACTTTTATTCCAGGAAATTGGGAACACCTAACAGAGCTCACATAGAAACCAAACAGCAGTTTCCTGGAACAATACGAGTATGTATGTGTTATTATGATTAATTGAATTTTTCGGAGTTCAATAATGAACATCTACTTATTTTCACTTTGAATAAAGTTCAAAATTATGTGGTGCGAACAGCTTCATATTTTATAATTGAGCTTTGTTAAATTGACATCAGTTCAGTTGTCTTTTGTTTTTTCATTTTTTATTTAAGAATCATTTTAACAGGTGTTCAAGTAGGTACGTTTGACATTGAATTCAAATTCAAATATCGTTTGACAGCCCTAACCCAGGTCAAACTGTAGCAGTTGAAGTTAAATTGACCAATTAAAACTCGGAGATAGTTGTCAAGAGGACTCGCGATACTTTCGGCGGCCATTCAGCCCAGCTGCCGATAAGTGGAACTATGCCGCAGTACACGTCTATGCAGCAGGCTCGAATTGTTAGGGTTCTAACGAATATTAGTGTAAAACAAAATAGCGGACTGTATAAAAATAGGTGCTGTAATTTTACGCCAGCCTAATTACAGGAAATTATCTAAGATACGCGGTAATCGTGCGTCGACGGTGGTGTCCAAAGGCGAGTGTGTGAGCCGAGCGCAGCCGATGATGACGCTGTCGGCCCGAGGTGACGTTAGTCATCGTACGCCGCCCGCTCGTCTCCTCCCGCGCGTTGTTGGCTTCCCAACACGAATCATTTCATAGAGGTTTACTTTTTTTTACGTTACTTCAACATTGCAATAATACCTAATTATTGTTGCAATGTTGAAGTAACCGGCCACACAATATCGGTGAATATTCTAGAGTAGTAACTTCCGAAAAAAGGGAATAAATAGTAAATCATATCGATCGCTGTTAACCTACAAATTCGAACAATGCCTACATTCAGTAGTTACTCAAAGAATCACCATTTGATGAGAGCGAGAGCAAAAACGGAAATGGATAGTTAACACTGTGGCCGTGTGTAAATTCAGTATTTGATTTTAGAAGGGCTAAAGGAGTATAAATAACATAGGGGTAGACATCAAACTCACCACTCTGGGTCTCTGGAGCTGGACGTCTATGTGTACCTTGAAAATACAATAGCAAATTAGGCGATGAAACACTAAGGCTGAGTTGCACCACCTAACTTTGACAGTAACTTTAACGATAATTAACCGGTGTTTTTGTATGGTTTAACAGATTTTTGACGTTTGTCAAAGTTAAAGTAAGATGGTGCAACCCAGCCTATGTTATGTACGTAAATGCATCTTCTACTGCTCCCTATACTATCCCTCCCTAAACTAAGGCTGCTGCATTTACCTCCACTAGTTGATAGCCAAACAACTAACTCGGATTAGCTGCCTAATGCCTAATCACGCTGAAATCGGTTCAAGATGACTATCCCATTGAACCAGAAAAGTAATATGACATTTGATTCGAGAATATTATCGGGGTTGAGGACGTATAGTAATATGTAGTGTAGGTATTTGGTTATTGATGGATTCTTGAATAGCACTAATTTGACAAAGCTCCTCCATATTACCGGAGTAAGAAGTCTCGGTATGATAAAAATGTCAAGTAGTCTAGGTCTGTTCAAAAAGTAAATATTATTTACTAGCTTTCCGCCCGCGGCTTTGCCCGCGTGGAATTTTGTCTGTCACAGAATTTTTTTATCAAAAACCAAGATAAAAACTATCCTATGTCCTTTTCCGGGACTCAAACTATCTCTATGTCAAACATCAAAATCGGTTCAGTGGTTTAGGCGTGAAAGCAAGACAGACAGGCAGACAGGATTGTATTTTCTATCACCAAGTATAGGTACGCCTATTTAAAAAAATTGCCTTAGTTAAAATCATTGCAGTTAATACTTTTATTGGTCTCTATGTAGGTACGAGCATTATTGACATGATCAATTTTAATTTCTGTGACGGGTCTGGGTGTAAATATGTATAATATGTATGTATTTAATAATAAAATAAAAAAACAAGTATACAAGTAGTATATCCGTTAAGCTAGCACCCATAACACAAGCATTGAGTTGCTTACTTTGGGGCTAGCTGGCGCTGTGTGAAATTGTCTCAGGAAATTGTCCAAAGATTTATTTATTATTATTATTTATTATTATTAATATAAGTCGATCTATGTGCTTAAATTACATATATTATCCCTCAAAATCATTATGAATAAATCATTTATGTAGGCAAACGAATCTTTCAAAACTTTCGCATCGTTTCAAACCGCACAAAAATACATAGCAATGAATATTAAAGCGAACAATTGGAGCAAATGCGAATAATTTCAAACAATGTTATAAATCACGATTCGACGGAAAGCCTCGTGAATCCGGACATTTAGGGCTGCGCTAATATTGACACTGCCATTGTATGGACACAAGCAAATGACGAGCGATGGGTATAAAGATAATTATTTCAAATGAATGTTTAATCATTATCGATTGTATAGTCTACAGCTTATTCTAGATTTTTATTGCAAAATTGCACCTTTTCAATAAGTATACATATGTACATAAAATACCACAATAAAGTTGAGTGCAAAGTAATATACAAAACAGTAGAACCAATGAGAATTAGCATTAAAAAAATCAGGAAATTCCTTTCAACCTCATTTGGGACCGTGTAAGATTTCCCAGATAATGATCATTCACTCGTGTTTTAGGCTTTTGTGGATTCAGAACTATAGATGAGAGAGACACATGATACATGATGATGATAATGATGAACATTATAAGTTTTAACACATTATGGAACAGCTAGTTTATAACGTTCAATAAACTATGTAAAGAAAAACAAACAACATCACAATTCAAAAATATCAGCCAATTTTTCACGTGTGCATAGCACCTAAAATTACACATGCACCTAAAACCTAACACACAAGAATGCCCGACATGCGCGAAAAAGTCATAAACAAAAATAATAAAACACACCATAAACCTGAAATAGCCAGGATTCTTTTGGAAAGATATAAAAACATAACAAAATTTGCACACAGCGCCACAATGTTGCTGTACATTCTTTGCAGTGTCCTCGTGGTTTGTCAAGGTTACTCGTTACCAAGCACGTTGGATATTAAACCAATTGAACATGCTAAAGGAAATCATTCAAACATTGAAGAAGGAGGTCTCTTACCTGGTCGTAAACCTTTGAATGATGGTCCTGTGCCACATTATTTTGACTGGAGGCAAAAAGACGCCGTTTCACCGGTGAAGAATCAGTTAAATTGTGCTGCTTGCTGGGCTTTCGCTATTGTTGGTAATTATAATTTTATTAATTAGTACTAATTATTTCGTATAATAATTGAATTATAGATAGATATTCCAATATAATATTTTAAACTATTATGTTGCATTTTTTACTATAAAATTATCACTTCACGGGATTTATTGCAACAATATCTATTTTAACGGTAAATAATATTTACCCTCCCGACGTTTCGGCTCGGTTGCACGAGTCATGGTCGCGGGCAGACTGAAGAGATGCGGCGTCGTCTGCTCCGGCGCGATGAGTTTTCTTCACCCACCCGCATTTGCACAATATTTTCGTCAGTGGTACAGTCAGTCCGACAAACTACACTAACAGTGTCCGGGTTTCTCTGAGACGGCCTAGAACGCGATTTGTATTTCGTTATCACCGGATTCCACGCTGATGATAGGTTAAATCCATCTTCTCGATTGAAATTCTTATGCTTTTTAATTTCAATGGCTTCACGTATCAACCTAACATGGTAATGCCTGTCAGTTGAGAGGATTTTCGGGTCATGAAGTTCCATCCAGTGATTAACGTCCGAAGTTAACAAATGTTCAGCTATCGCAGATTTGCACGTCTGTTGGTTCTTTACAGCCGCTATGTGTTGTTGTTACCATGACTCGTGCAACCGAGCCGAAACGTCGGGAGGGTAAATATTATTTACCGTTAAAATAGATATTGTTGCAATAAATCCCGTGAAGTGATAATTTTTAGATATTCCAATATTTATTTAGCTAACCCTCTACAACAAACAAACCTAGATTTATCTTCATAATACATGAATTTACAATATGACATCTGGAGCACCTGTTGAGAAAGCTAAAAATATTATGAAAATATTTATAAAAAAAACGTCGTATCAAATTCAGAGCTCCTTGTTCATGAGGATTGGAAAAAGTTAAAGTTTAATTTCACACGGAAATGTCATGAATTTAATATCACCTTCTTGGTCACACTTACCAAGCAACCAGTTACGAAGCGACATAATAATATGTCGTTAATTATAAACGATCTTAAGTATCGTAATTACCGCTGTAATTAATTACTTCCTATGAACCATCAGGGAACAGCAATATCAATTACCATCGCCATTGATATTATGTGTCTTAATTACTGCTTAAGTAAGGGGTTCTGTATTAAAATAGTTCGTCAGTGCCAGATTGAAATGGTTTAGATTAATGTGCTTTTTTTTGGAAAAACAACAACTGCCTCAAGCTCATATGAATATAAAGAATTTTATGAGTTTTCAGTTTGCTTACAGCGAAGAAAAATCTAGTAAAGAATGAAGAAGAATCCTTTTCTATATGATACGAGTAAGTGAATTTCCTAGGGATTATACAACAAAGTTTTTCAATGCTTCTTTTCAAATTCTAACATAAACACCAATTATTTTGGTGGCTTTAATTTTCATCTTCTGTCATCTTTCTCATGAATATAGACCAGCTAGAGCATTTCTATGTAATGTACGTTCTTACGAATTACACAATACAGGTGAAATGTACGACGTTTGGTTAGTGACAGGGCAGGGTTATACCTAGAATACATAGAGCGCTCTTTGTTCTATTACAAGTAATTGATCTAGTCTTTACTCACCTTCATACATACACATAATATGGGAGACGAAAATAAATAAAAAAATCTGTCATGTTTTGATCCATATGAGACGCTTATGGTAGCTTCGACGTTGTTTCCTTGACTCCATTCTTACAAGTAGTAACAACAAGAGCTCCAATCGAGAGCTTACAAAATACCTCCTACCCACGTTCCGCTGAACATTTTAGATGATGGAACATTCCAGAACAGATATGTTTGTAAGCACACATCTGGCGAGATGCCTTGATTGAGCGTTGATAAAGGCAAACTCCTCGACCGGGCCTTTGAGGGGTCTCCTTTGAGGGCTAAACACAGCAATTATATTCATTTGCATAGTGCAATGGCAGTAGGCCAACCATGAAATGAAATACCGGAGTTACTAGCTTACCATAAACTCGTACCTACTATGTAGGTATATTGAGATAAGTTCGAGTATACCTAAGCTGTAATAAGCTTGATAACTTTATGAATTTTAAAGCAACATGGTTTAATTAATGAAATAAATAAAATAAGGGAGAATCAAAAATAGGAGATACGATGAACATCTGATAGGTGTTGTAAAAATTTTGAAATTTATATTTAAATATTGCAATTTTTGGAAATATTTGTGAATGTGGAAGGAAGTCGAACCTTTACTTCGAACTCCTCCTATGTTCTTCTGATTAATTTCTTTGCGGGTCCAATGACAGCTTAACTTTCCCCGGGACAAACTGCACCTTCACTGGTTGGGTTTTTATGGGACAATATTATTTGATCCTCTAAAAACTAATTGATCTTTTTTGTATGTGCACTTTTAAAAATAAATGATGTGTTTTATTATATTTTCTCTTTATATTAATTATTGGGTCTATATTAGTTGATCTACGGATAAATTATGAATGATTTTCATTTAAGGTAACATAATATTTATGTTTTACATACTCTTTTAATATTTAGTAAACAAAAATTATATTTGATCCTCTTTTTTAGTTATTGATCTTTAATTTTGTTAATTTGATGATTTTTATATCAAGATTGCCTTTTAATATTGATCACCTAATAAATACATTTCGGTCTAAGTATAACTCAACTTTAAAATATATTTGATCTAACTAAAAATATTATTGATTAATATTTTTAATTAAAAAATATCTTTTAATTTACTCGATACTTTGTTGAGTGACAATCGTCCGTCATTGGTCGTTTACTGAGTTGGCCAAGGGCTTTGCGGCCAATAAGCAAGCAGAATGGTACATTGCCATGTTTGCTTAGTTTGGGACTAGAGGCGCTATGTAAAATAATTGTATACTTCTGACATCCCTGAACATGACATCATAATTTTTAACTCTTTATTTTTTTTTTTCAAATCGCAAGGTTGATTTTCTCTTAGTATACCGATCTCGACCGTGATCAGTGACCATAGTCATCTGTCAACGGGTCGATTAGACCCGATAAAAGCACTAAACGATATTTTTTTACTTTTAGTGCGACATCGGGTCGTAATGACCTGATAAGTTTTTTTTTCCAAGTATTTACTGTGTTTGACGAAACAATTGCAAAACAATATTTATCTTTCGTACTACTGATAAGACCGAATATATCCAACACGCACCAACGCATGCAGCACCTAAGGTCAATTCGACCCGATAACGAACGCAGTGTGAACGTGTTAAGTATACTTTTTTAATAAAAAATAAATCTTTGAACATCAAGTGCCTTTAAATAGTTTCCATCCTTTGACGACAATTTAATAAAAATAAGTAGGTACCATGACATAATTATTTTGAAGATTATTTGATATAGACAAAAAATAATTTATACAAATCAAATTATTTAAAAAAGTATCACAATATTGAATATTTGGTGCTCATTTCTCTTATTTTTGAGGACCAACAAGTAACGATCAGATATAATTTTTACATCTCAAAAATTTTTTGCCTAGTTGAAAAGAGGTTAAAATATCGATCGATTTCATTTATTTTATGTCTCAAAGAAAGAGGATCAATCATTAAAATAGATGACCATTTAGATTTTTTTATTTGCCGTTTTAGCTAATTTAAAAAGATCATTTAAATACATGCCGGTTTTTATTGGTGCCGTTTATTAGGATTCCAAATTCCTAATTAATGCATACTAAAAATATCCATTGGTAGCGGCCTGCGTCCAACCTTTATGATGTTGTCAGTCCATCTTGTGGATGGACGTCCCACGCTGCATTTTCCGATAAACATAAAAAAACATTAGGGGAAGCCTATGTTCAGCAATGAACGTCCTGAAATGATGATGATGATCATGAAAAATATGTATTCCAGGTGCAGTCGAGAGTCATGTGATGATCTACACTGGTGTAAAGGAACTCTTATCTGAACAGTTCCTTATCGACTGCAGCCCCTTTAAAAATGGTTGCGGAGACGCTTCTCTGTTGAAATCATATTCGTAAGGGTTTTTTTTACATTTTTTGTCGCAAAATCGTCTCTATTAATAGGAACTTGAGGCCATCGTGTTTAGCTTGACGAACCATCGTCTGTGCATATCGATAGAGGGTTAATTGGCACCACCTGACTTTATTAACCGTAACTATAACGATAGCCGGTGTTTTTGTATGAAGTTTGACAGAGGTGCAAACCAGCTTAAAACTTTCGTTTTATAAATAAGATCTACTTAGAGTTAATTTTAGCTAGGACTCAAGATTTACTGATTGTGATCGAGGTTATGTGCAAAAGTTGTAAAAGTCGAAAAACGCAATAGTCACAGGTGAAAACAATTACTTAACTATACCAACATAACAGTCTTTGTAGAGAATATGATACGTAAAGAAGCAAAGCTCTTTTAAACTAAATGATTTAAATGATTCTTACTTTCTACAGACATATAGTAACCCAGTTGGGCGGGATACTCCGCGACAATGACTACTATCCATACGAGAACGGCCAAAACAACTGCAGATGGTCAAGACCTGAGTATCACTTTGTAAATGTTCTACCCGTTCCGGTGATTGGCTTCCGAAGGGTGAACTCTGATGAAGACTTGATGGCAGAGTGGCTGTATAGATATGGACCGCTAACTGCAGGTATACATAATATAGATTTATCTATTACCAGCTACGAGTGTATTAAGCTAGTTTCCTAAAAAAATTTTTTAGTCCGTCAATTTTAATATAAAAAAGTATTGGACACATATATTTTTAATTGTCAATCAAACAAATAATTACAAAGTTATAGTGCTTTGAAGTTCCGCGCGACGTCACAAAGTGCTGCACTTTTACGCACTCACTGACGTCACGAGCCTTTTCTTTAGAACTTTGGCACGCTTTATCTCTTTACATTTTCATTAGTTTCAAAAAGTGAAAAATACGTGTCGAGTAGTTTTTGAGAAGCTAACTGACGGACTAATTAAAACTCTTACTTTTTTACCCAGGAAACATCCCTATTGCAAAATTAACTAACAATGTTATAAAATTGAGAACCTCTTCCTTTTTGAAGACGGTTAATAAAACTTTTTCATAGAATCATAACATGCAACATGAAAATGAACAAACAGGAAATGTGAGAGATTCTAGAAAAAAATCCTTTGAAGTCCAGACTAATTGTCGCAGTCTACCCTTTAGTGTGGCATTTAACCTAAATAGTTGGTTACCTACATGGGAAAACATGATAACCTATACATTTGCTTTGCTATAATTATGACGAGTTTACGTGTGAAATTATTCAGCACAATGGTATCCTATTACAAAATACTATTTTCAATTAAATAATTGTCATTTATCCACAGGGATAAACTCCGCATCAATGGCTAGATACAAGGGAGGTATTGATGAACCACAAGAGGAATACTGTGACCCCGAGACACCGAATCATTCTGTCTTGATCGTGGGTTACAACGAATATGGTAAGACATTTAAATAATTGTCCATGGTATTTTATTAGAAAGAAAGAAAACATGTTTATTCAGTATCACACATTATTAATTTACAAAAAAAAATGTACATAAACATGATACTAAAAAGGCGGGCCACTCAGCATATTGAAAGATCGGTCCGGTTTCTTGTTGTGTTCGTTTCGTTAATCGAGTATTTTCGGGCAAGTGGGTGATTAACCCGCTGTACCCTAGTCCGGTGGTGGGGCTGCCACCTCAGAGCTTCTGGACTAGCTCGGTTTTTTTCGGGTATCCTCCCTAGTGAAAAGATTCTGTTATAAGGCGCAGAATACTCGCCTTTCGCCCTGCATCCTCAGCTCAGCTGCAAGTCTAGGTAGTGGTAGTCACTCAGCATATAATATGTCGTAGCAACTCGGGAATGCCACTACGCTGGTTTTCCGTGGACACCCAGAGAGAAAGAGCGTACTACAGATATCAATTGCTAATATGTTTATGCCAGACCTGCCTATGTGAAGATAAGCAGGACTTTGGGACTGTTTTAGATTCACACAGTGACCATAAACGCCACTGAAAATCTCTGAAAGTCACTTAAAGTCAATGAAAAGGCAAATTCTGCAACTTCATTTACTGGGATGATATTTTCCAGTTATTTTGATATAAAAACTAAAGTACTGATTTAAAATATTTGATTTATTTTTCAGTGCCACAAAACCCAAAGGAGCCTCGAGTCAAGTACTGGATAATAAAGAACTCGTGGGGCAAAGAGTTCGGAGACAAAGGCTATTACTACCTGGTGCGCGGGCGCAACGCGTGCGGCATCGCCAACGATGTGTCTTTGCCTTTTGTGCAATAAAAAACATACCTAATGGTATTGGGAACCTCTATTGAAATATGGGCGTAAATAAAAAATATTTTTTCCTTTTTAAACTGAATTATTAAATATTTCATCAATTAAAACACCGTAAGCTATTACGCCCGTCTATAGAATCAGTTGACAATGAGATGACAGACATCAAAACATAAAGAAGAAAAATATGCTCTATGGAAGCTATCCACGGAGTCCCGTATACTCAGTCAATTAATTTTTGCACTTCAAATCAATACCTACTCTCCTCCTTTCTTTGAAGTCGGTTAAAAGTTTTTTTTCTGTAAATATTTGAGTTTATTATAAAAGTGAACGCATTTCATATGCATGGATTCAAAGAAGGCAATATCCGCAATAACATAGCCATGTAGGTACCTCACAAATTTTTCAAAGTTGAAACGTAGTATATTGTTTAAAAGCAATGACTACAAAAATATTAAAGACCCTACCTATTCTTCAGACATCTTCTTAAACATGCAAAGTGACAAAATTATTATTTGAATCATTACTGATATTATTATTATTTCAGATATTACATTAGGTGCATACTTTCGAGAATTTCAACAGAATTCTAAACGCTTTTAATAAAAACAAATACCGATCTCTAAGTGAATTTCAACCAGAATTTTCCAGTTATTCCCATTTCACACCGTAAGATGAAGAAAGCAGGATTTATTTAAAGAATTCTCATTTTAATTTTAAATTTAATACCACCATCTTTCATGTAGATACGGCATATATCAAGCTAAAAAAACATCAACATTATGGTGCCTTAAGATGTTATATTAAAGTCCTATTTTGCAACAAGAACCTCAGAAAATAATTAATTTAAAATCTGTTTGGTTAAATAAACAAACAAAATGTATTAAAATCCTGCGCCTTTCTAGTCCAATCATAATTGAAAGCTTCGCAGCAAAATTACTTCATTTACTTAAAATACTTTTCATTTTAATTTCTATGCTAATAGTGGGTAAAAGACTAAATTAATTCTTGAGCTTGTGAAACAAATTGATTGCTTCAATTAAGCTGCATAGAGCGTGGGTTTCTCAGTGTACCTAAGTAAGCTTTGAAGAGCCTTTGAAGTTTTCATTCTGAAATGGGTTGACTTGAGGCCTACTTGAAGCCTGCTTAGTGACTTACTGAGAAACAGTCGACAGCACTACAGACTATTTTTGCTGCAAAATACAACCTAATTAAGTACTTGATAGCACAGAGTATAGCTAATTTGCTGTAGCCTGTACATTAAAAACCTTCTTTCAACTGACAATTTCGATTACAAACTTTTGATGGCTTAAGAACACTTATGTTTATATTTCAACAACAATAAAATAAAGGATATTTTAAGTTAAACATACTAGCATATTCGTTCGTTCGTTTCAGCCGAAAGACGTCCACTGCTGGACAAAGGCCTCCCCCAAGGATTTCCACGAAGACCGATCCTGCCCCCCTCGCATCCAGGCACCTCCCGCGACCATCACCAGATCGTCGGTCCACCTAGTGGGAGGCCTGCCCACGCTACGTCTTTCGGCTCGTGTTCGCCACTCAAGAACTTTCCTGCCCCACTTGCATATAATACTCTATAGAGATATATATTTAATAATAATAATATTTATTTAAAAATAAACTTAGTACAAAATTAATAAAATGTTATATGTAATAGTAATACCAATTATTAAATTAATTGTATACCTATTGTGATAAATAATTAATAACTAATAATATAATTGAATTAATTAAATAATTAAATGTTTATAAATTCTTCCCCTCTCTTAGAATGCTGTGCCCGACAGGGTCCATAATTGTATCTTATAAAACCATACATACCACCTCTGTAACATTATGGATGCAATAAAAAATTGAGTATTGAATTGCACGAGAACTGGGAACTTTTAAATTGCCATTCGTCTAATTTGCATACGAAATAATCCAAATGGCATTCATCTGTATAGATTCGAATCAGTTGACGCTAAACCCCATAGTTTTAACACAATCACCATGGACGGCAGTAAACGCTAACATCGCGTCCCATCAGGTATTCAAATACCTTATGTAGACCAAAAATATTTATCAATAGTATTCTCTTAATTCTTAAAATCTCTATCATTGTTAGTAAGGTATACGTCAAAAACACAGATCATCTCGTAAGTAGGTATGTGTTAAAAATTTTACCCGGCTGCCGAATGCAAATGGCTATGTTTTATTTAATATTTTAAACTATTATGTTGCATTTTTTACTATAGAATTATCACTTAAAAACTAAAACGTCGGGAGGGTAAATATTTTATTTACCGTAAAATAGATATTGTTGCAATAAATCCCGTGAAGTGATAATTCTATGTTTTATTTGTTAAATTCATTCTGTAGGTATTGAAGTGCCGTTCAAAAGCAATATTCAAATGTACTTGCGGAAAATGTTACACAAACGAGGCTCGGGCAACTTTCACAGAAATTGAAATGGGATTTCCTTGCTTTAACTTTGTAAATGCCAATAAGAACTAAACTCATTAGTCGAGTTTTTGCGGGATTGTCGATTTGCTCGATTATTCTCACACTAGCTTTCCGCCCGCGGCTTCGCCCGCGTGGAATTTTGTCTGTCACAGAAAAACTTTATCGCGCGCGTCCCTGTTTCAAAAACCGGGATTACAACTATCCTATGTTCTTTCCCGGGACTCAAACTATCTCTATGCCAAATTTCATCAAAATCGGTTGCGAGGTTTAAGCGGGAAAGCGTAACAGACAGACAGACAGACAGAGTTACTTTCGCATTTATAATATTAAGTTGGGATTTGATTTACGAGCACCTAGCGAACTCTTTGCTGAATCTTAACCAGCTGAAATTAAAATTTGAACTTTTTAATTTACTTTATTTATTAACGTTAATCTGGTTCGCTCCAGCAGAGCAGAGGAAAACGCAGCGTGGGACGTCCACCACCACGACAAAATAAAGGTAAGCAGAAAGGCGCTGGATGCAGGCCGCTACCAATTGATCAACATGGAAATCATTGTTAGAGGCCTATGTTCAGCAGTGGACGTCCTGTGGCTGTAATGATGATGATGATAAATTAATGTTAAGTGGGTATGTAGACAGAGAATATTTCTTTGAACACCACAGAAAAGAAATACCAAATCAAAACGGCATTTATGTGGTGGAGATATTGACTAGACAATCCAGGGAGAGAACATTATTGTTAGGTACAAACATACTTTAATTGAATCATAAGCCCATAAAAGGAAAATTAATTTACTAAGTCAGAGACATTTTGTCGCCCATTTAATAAAACCTGCTAGAAGAAACTCATGTTCAGTACTTTTTACGCGAGACATAGATAATCAATTTATTAGACGTAGGTAATTAATTGCCAATTTCAGCTTATAGTCCAGTCTTTTAAGCTTAAATTAGGTAAGAATCTCGGAATTAGAGATACCCAGCTGTAAGTCTGTAAATACTTGTATATTGACACCCTAAAAGTTGTCTCAAAACCTACATATGGTAGGGTGTAAGCAACTATTAAATTTTAAGGTCAAAGGTCACAAAAATCGGTTTTTTGCGCTTTTTTTGGAAATATCTCATTTCCTATGGGTTTTTTGCTATTTGTATTTATTATCAACTAGCTGACCCGGCAAACTTTGTTCCGCCTTAATGGCAATAAATAAGCAGATTTTTTTTAATTTCGAACGGGATAAAAAGTATCCTATGTCCTTCTCCTGGCTCTAAACTACCTCCCTGACAATTTTCAGCTAAATCGGTTCAGCCGTTCTTGAGTTATAAGTGGAGTAACTAACACGACTTTCTTTTATATATATAGATATTGTAGAATACTAAATTCTCTACAAATTTTGTTTAAAAAATTTTTTTATACGGTGAACCGTTTTCGAGATAGAGGGCGGAGAGCGCGCGGTCACTGCATCACTTCAGGTCAACTTAAGCGGTTTAGGTTTTTCATACAAAAGGATTTTCCCGCTAATTCCCGTGGGAATTTCGGTAATTACTTGTTGTAAATAAGCTTTAAGTTTACTAAGGTACCTACATGCCAAATTTCAAGCGTCTAACTTCCGTTAAGCGTTTAGATTTTTCATACAAAAGGATTTTCCCGCTAATTCCTGTTCCCGTGGGAATTCCTAAGTAAACTATAACCTGCCCAGGTGTATGAAGAATAATTGTACCAAGTTTCGTTAAAATCCGTCGAGTAGTTTTTGTTTCTATAAGGAACATACAGACGGACAGACAGACAGACAAAAATTTTACTGATTGCATTTTTGGCATCAGTATCGATCACTAATCACCCCCTGATAGTTATTTTGAAAATATATTTCATGTATAGAATTCTGTCCGTCTGTATGTTCCTTATAGAAACAAAAACTACTCGACGGATTTTAACGAAACTTGGTACAATTATTCTTCATACACCTGGGCAGGTTATAGTTTACTTAGGAATTCCCACGGGAACAGGAATTAGCGGGAAAATCCTTTTGTATGAAAAATCTAAACGCTTAACGGAAGTTAGACGCTTGAAATTTGGCATGTAGGTACCTTAGTAAACTCAAAGCTTAGTTACAACAAGGAATTCCCGAAATTCCCACAGGAATTAGCGGGAAAATCCTTTTGTATGAAAAATCTAAACCGCTTAAGTAGACCTGAAGTGATGCAGTGACCGCGCGCTCTCCGCCCTCTATCTCGAAAACGGTTCACCGTATAAAAAAAGTTTTTAAACAAAATTTGTAGAGAATTTAGTATTCTACAATTTTGATAATAAATACAAATAGCAAAAAACCCACAGAAAATGAGATATTTCTAAAAAAAGCGCAAAAAACCGATTTTTGTGACCGTTGACCTTGAAATTTAATAGTTGCTTACACCCTACCATATGTAGGTTTTGAGACAACTTTTAGGGTGTCAATATACACGTATTTACAGACTTACAGCTGGGTATCTCGAATTCCGAGGTGAACTTACTATAATGACTGGACTATTAACTAATATCGTGGAAATATATTTTATTACCTAGTTACTAAACAGGGAGTAAGTA